AACAATTAATATTTTAAAACGAACACAGAATATAAAAATGAAATAAGAAATAGAATAAACTGAAAGATATACTAAATATAAATCCTCCAAACTTAAAGATTTATAAAATCCAATTCTCCAAAACTTCCAAGAGTACAACTCGGGAATCCATCTAGTGCACCTCTAAATGAAAACCCAACTGAAAAGTAAACAACTGAAAATAAAACCAAAACTAAACCATGGAATGAAATCCTACATCGTCGGTAGAGTGAATGATAATCTCTGCTCAGCACGATCAAGCCTAAGACTGGAACCGTCCAATACCTGAAAAATATAAGAGTGGGTCAAACCCACGAACAAGTTCTAATCTAACTATAATCCATATAATGACCCGATACGCAGATATACCCTATATATCTCACAATATCTATCTAGTCCATAAATATATATATATATATATATATATATATATATATATATATATATATATATATATATCCATACTAAGGGACATTCACTGGACTACGAAGGGGTCTCAACCTGAATAGAAGGCAACATGCAAAAACGCACCCAAAGGTGGGCATGAATACCTAGACCTAACAGGGTACACCTTAACCTATCATAGCTAGCTACGCATCCACTACATATATGCACCCTAACCAACGAGCCTAAGACTCAAACTCATCTTATGGGACCATAACCATATATCTAAAGTCCGTCCAAAACCAGAGCATGTCATTCAATTATTCATTGAGCTGACATACGATATACAATCCAGTTAGTCACTCAACTTATTCAGTTGATATGACTTAACTACAACCAACTAATCCAAAAAGTCATTCAACTTAGTCAGTTGATCTGACTTAAACATAATCAGGATTCAATATTTTACAACCCATTCATTTATTCCAATAGGTTAGGTCTTAGCGTTTTGAGCTAAACCATCCCTAATATGCCACCGTTCTATACCAGTGCATACAATCCTCAACATCCATGTAAATTATACAACATAAATAATAGTTCAGCAATTTACAATCCAAAACCATGATCCAGATAATTGCAGAATAGTATTTAATATTTTAGCAATTAAAATCCAAACGTTAATCCATGTAATTACAGAAAAGAATTTAATATTTCAACAATTAACATCCAGAGCATGCATAGATCAAATCTAATAAATAAATGACCATATCAGGCACTCAAAATAAGATTATAATCATATTATATCCCATTAAATTGCTAAAATTAAACTAAACAATTAATTCCATTTCAACCGTTAACAGCATACAAAGTTGTTAAATTGCGCACTATTAATTCCTTTAATATAACGGGGTAACTTATGCAATTAGAGATCTTGGTAACCCCTAAAATTAATTACTAAAACCCCCAGTAAAGTCCCAAAATTAATCGAAACGATCCAAACATCCAAACAGTACTGAAACAGTACGCCGAAAAGTCCATAATGAACAAAAAAAATGAGAGAGCCTGCTCCATGAACTTAGGAACAAGCTCCCTAATGCATGGAGCCGGCTCCATGCCTCTTGGAGCTGGCTCTAAGGGTGTGGGAGTCGGTTCTCTCCCTCTCTGAGAGCCTCCAGTCCAGTTTTACTCCGTTTCAGCCCATCTGCTCCCTATCCGGCCATTCCAATTCCTCTGTTCCTCTCTAATACTGGACCTAAGAGTCTTATTTATACCCAGTAGCATTCCAATGGTTTGTTTACAATAGTTGGAATTAATTACAGTGATTAAAACTGCTACCGATTTAACATTCTTAAAGAAAAAACTGAAACCCAGGTCTATGCACGAACTGTAACAGAATTGATTCAACGCATACAGATCATCAATATAACATATAATAAACATGTAAGTTTCAGTTAATGATCAATTAAACCCTAGAGACTATCTAGGTGCACAGAACACAGGCCAACGGGAGAGAGAAAGAAAAGAACTTGCCTGTGATTTCAGTTATGAAATCTCGGCGTCGTGTCTACGTTTCCGGCAATTACTGAATACCATCAAGCCTCCTATTGTTCTGGTTTAATCCACCACAACACCTCCTTGGTCCTCTCTGTTTTCCTCCTTGGTAACCCTAACTGTGCCTCTGTTCTTTCGACCCTCTCTACGTGAACAAACTTTAGGTTTATGTTGCTGTGTTATGTTCTTCAAAACCCTAAGTAAAAACATAATGGTGTATTTAGGCTTAGAAACATACAACCCTAACTATAACTAAAACCCCAGTCCATGTATAATTAGAGACAGAACCCTAATTAAATCCTAGTCGGCCCATAGAACAAAACCTAAGTTATAATCTATGCTGGCTACAAGTATGTAACTCCTAAAAGAAAACCCTAAGTAATTAATAATACTCATTCAATCCAATTACTCATTTAATTAAAATACAACATTTAAACAATTAAATAATAAGCCAATTACTCATTTAATTAAAATACAACATTTAAACAATTAAATATAACAATAATAAGCAAATAATTAATTTAAAATACAACATTTAAACAATGCAATAATAAACAAATAAGCAACCAATCACTCAAAAATGAAATAAAATAATAATTAAAATGTCGAGGCTATCCTTTTAAAATTAGGGTTATTACAAGACCCATCCAGCATAACATTCAGGATTGGAGCGAAAAATGAATTACAAATGAAGTCCTGACAATGGACCTCAACTACAAGGCCATGGTCACCGAGCTGTCTGTCGTCCCCGCCGTCCCCATCCTCTTCACCATCCGAACTTTCTGCCATCGATTTTTCCGAGCACCGCCGCGAGTCATTCATGGATACCTTCCGCGAGATTGAAATGACCAGAAAGGACTCAGATGGCACTGCGAAGATGGAGGAGGTGGCAGTGCAGAACAGTAATGGATGATGCCGTTGGGAATTTGGGACTGTTCGGGGCGATGTACTTCAAATCGGCAAGTACACGGAATAACGAGGCATGGCATGATTGTAGCGTCAGTGATGGCAGTTTGTAGTCACGGTTCTGGCAGCGTTAAGGGACGACAAGCAAAGTCTGATCCTCGGACCAGAGAGGATTCCGGCAGGTGAGCAAGAGGAGGCTCGACGCTTATGGATGATTTTTCGGTGACTTGGCTTGGCGTCGTCCGAACTTCTTCCTCTCCTTGGAAACGTATGATTTGATTGATGTTTAGAGAGAGAAAAAAGGAGTGATGTGGTAGAGAAGATGGGGTGTACCAAGGGCAAAAATGAAACTTTTTAAAATACAATATCTTTTATTTTTTTATTAAAAATAAATACTTTAATTTTAAGGTCAAAAGTGTAAATTTATATTGATTTTTTGTGGTCAAACGGTCAATATGGACCTTTGTGTAATATTGCTATAACTTCTATCTACATGCACAATATTGAAACCTCGTGGGTGATTTGTGTAATTTGCTCTAATAAAAAAAATTAAGCTTATACCTTATGAAATACTAGTATTAAGTTACAATTTTATCACTTTTTTAAATGGCGGACAATAATTATTTACGGGTGGTTTAATCACTATGTATGAATATGTAATTAGACTAGTAAGTGGGAATGATATGAGTAGACAAGTATTGTTCTTAAAAAACAATGTTGGGATGCACTTGTGGCCCAATGCTTAGGTCCTCCTCAATGGTTTGAGGACCTCATTCCTCTTTCTCCTTTAACTCCTAACAATACTTACACTATCGGGATAAAAAATAGGATAAAGTGCACTAAACCCCCATAAACTTTCTTCTTTTTCTCAAGAAACCCCCCTGAACAATCATTGTGTTCGCCGGTAAGCTCGCCGTTGCCGAGCACCTCTGTTACTACCGCTGCAGAATAGACCCACCTCTCACCGGGTTATTCTTTAGTAGTTGTTCCTTGCATTTCAGTATCATCCATTAAAGCATACTGTTATCACGGAGCACATAGATTGCAGTTAGTCACGGCTGTCTCGTGCACAACGTCGATCCTTGCATTGCCGATTCTTCCTTGTTGTCGCCGGTTCGGTCCTTGATTCTCGCCAGTTTAAACCAAATGGACTTATTTACAGACCAAAACAAGTTTTACTGTTTGTATTGATGTTGTCTTCAACGAACTAAAAGAAAACAGAACTCCTACAGCCATCTTAGGGTTTTGTCCATACCTTGTTGATTGGGATGGACACATGTTTAGGTCATTGTTTGGTGCATAAAATGTTGCTGGACATTGTTTGGCGCCATTTTGATGTTGTTGGGCATTGTTTGGTGCTGTTTTGATACAGACGATCTTATTGATAAGGTTAGAAGACCGTGTGGCATATTTATTGGTTCTACATTATCAACAACAAAAAATAGTTAAAACTAAGCCGTTCAAGTAAGGGATAAATGGTCTTTTTTTTTTTTTTTTTTTTTTTTTTCATTAACGGCTACTGACGGATAATTAGTGCATGCAACAAATTCATACTTGAGGAGTTTTGCTTACTTGAGGGAGGTTTATTGCAATCCGGTCATATTTTAGGTTTAGTGCACTTTATCCTAAAATATATATATTAAATAATAAATCTCAACATACTAAAATAACTAATAATATAGAATAATAAATCATTAATTAGAATCAAAAGCAATCTTATATATAGAAAAATAAATATTTTTCAACACGAAAACATAGTTCAAGCAGTGATTATAAAAAAGAAATAAAGCATTGTAATCTGGCGCAAGTCGAAACAGACAGGGATCCAACGTAATAAATAAATAAGATAACATTTGCGTTATTCATGTAAGTATATTTAATACATTTTATATTTTATTTTTTGATTATTTAGAATTGGAATTTTTATTTATATTTTTTGATTATTTAGAATTGGAATTTTTATTTATCCCTGAAAGTCAAACAAATTATTTAGAATTGGAATTTTTATTTATCCCTGAAAGTCAAACAATTTATTTAGAATTGGAATTTTTATTTATCCCTGAAAGTCAAACAAATTATTTAGCATTGAATTTTTTTTTTCGGAAGGTACTTATTTAGCATTGATTTCTTTGCAATGAATGTGTAGAGAGAGAGAGAGAGAGAGAGAGAGAGAAAGAGAGAGTCTGTAGCCTGTAGTACCCATATCAGTTTCTCTCTCATATTTAACTGGTCTTACATTTTACTGTAAACCATCCTCTCCTATGCTTCAACTCTCAAACAAAACCATCTTAACAAGTCCTTAGTCCTCACTACACAGCTATACACATATATTATATATACATGTATATATATAGATATATGTATATATAGTTGTGGCTTACCTCCTTCCACTACCAAGTCTACCATCCAACATACTAGACTGAGCATTCTCAAATCAATGGCTAATTCAGGCCTTACCACCTTGTTTTATTTACTCATATTGTTTGCTCCTACATTTTGCAGCTCAAGCTCCGATTTTATTCAGCCGGAGTGCTTGAAAGTTCCCATGTCGGAGTTCGTGAGTTCGTTGAAATCGACGATCGACACAGTCCAACAAGTCACCTCCATCGTATCCCAATTCGCCGGAGCATTCGGCGATTTTCGCCTCTCCAATGCCATCTCCGACTGCCTCGACTTGCTCGATCTCTCCTCTGACGAACTCAGCTTGACTCTCTCTGCTTCTCAGAACCCAAACGGTAGTTCTTGAACTCTTACCCTTTTTGGTTCTGCCCTTCTCTTTACAAAAAAAACCAAGTGACTGTAATGTCTCTATTACTATTTATTCATTCTGGGTATTTGATATTTCAGAGAAATATTTTACTTTAAAGGTCTGGTTTTGTAAATTAGCCCACAACCTCTGCAAATACTCTGTATTTACCTTCTTTTCTGTTTTGGTTGCTCTGTTTCGTTCCCTTTCTTCTCAAACCCATGGTTTTCAGTACCATCTTTAATTATCTATCAGACTATCACAATTCAAAATTGATAATACATCTAACTGCTATGTCGTGAAGTTCTTGACTCAATTAATGTTAGTGTGTGGGTGTGAGAGAGAGAGGGTCTACATTAGCCACATGTTCTGGCTCTAATCAATTAGCAGTTAAATGTATCCTATCACATGGCCCTATCTAATTTATAAGTGCTATATTGCTTCTTCATAATCATATATTGGGTCAACAATAGTGAAAGTGATACAAAAATGTTATCTTTTTACAGGTAAAGATAATAGCACAGGTAATTTGAGTGCTGATCTGAGGACATGGTTGAGTGCGGCACTCATTAATCAAGACACATGCAATGAAGGATTTGAGGGTACCAATAGTATTGTCAAAAGTGTGGTTGTAGGAAGCCTCAGCCAACTAACCTCATTAATCACCGACATCCTCACCATGGTAAGCCAAGTTCCAGATGCCAAATCCAAAGGTGGTCGAGGTGGCGGCAAGAGTGGCAAGGGTGGCAATGGTGGTGGTCATTCAGGGAGGAATCTTGAGGGAAATGACCATTTTCCTTATTGGGTGAAACCCGATGACCGGAAACTCCTGCAGGTGAATGGGGTATTCGCGGATGTTGTAGTGGCTGCAGATGGGACCGGGAACTTCACTAAGGTCATGGATGCAGTAGCTGCAGCCCCGGATCACAGCATGCGTCGCTATGTCATATACATCAAGAAGGGCGTGTATAATGAGTATATAGATATCACTAAGAAGAAGTGGAACCTTATGATGGTCGGAGATGGCATGGAAGTCACTGTTATATCTGGTAACCACAGCTTCATTGATGGATGGACTACCTACCGGTCTGCTACATTTGGTAAGATATCTTAATAAATTTGTTTTGGACTACTTAACCCATTCAATACTGACAAAGATTTGTGTGCTTTCATCAATATTGACTACGATAGGATAGGTTAGTAATTCGCAGAACCAAACACCACTTTCTTGTCACCAACCTTTGTGCTCTAAATCCTTGGACATAATAACCAACCCGGCCAACTCCATTAATTCAATGTGGTGGTGTTGCATTGTTTGTTTTCCGTGGTGATACAACGTTAGTGTTGGATTTTAATGTTTTGTCAATCTGGTTATACGGTTACAGAGCTGGCAATTTATAATAGCCCCAAACTGTTGATGAATTCAAACCTTTTCATGCCAATTGAATAGAGTTGGCCCTGCTGAGATCTGTTCAATTAATTCAAATTTATTAATTTTTAATTTTTTACTCTGTTTTCGCTAAAATAAGTAGACAGGCTGAATCTTGGTTGAGAAATTTTCAGCTTAATTGCCTAATCTCAAACCGAGGTTGCATGGACATTATGTTAGTTCAGATGTTCGATCTCTTCTTTGAGATTGGTTGTTCGAGTCCTATTAAGAGCAATATTGTGAGTATGTGTGCTTCTGCTTGAACTTTTGATTAAAAAAATGTAATCATCTTACTGAATCCCATTTTGTGGCAAGCTATGGGGTGGGGTATGTGGGAATTTGCATCGCCATGCCGTATTCATGGCGGGGTGCTTGTCCACCAGGCAAAATGGTCTGCAAAGGTCACATGTATTTCACAAAACACAAGATCATTCTCATGTTGCCTTTTGGAACCAGTCCCACTCCCCTATATAAAAAATTATGGACAATTATTACTCCATTTTTATCATGCTAGCATTTATAAGGATGATTAAATTTCTTTGGATATTACCATTGATTTTGAACAGAACTAATTTTATAGTAGATGATGTTTTAATATTCATAAGAATTAATGCTTACGGTGGATGCCACATTTTTTGCTTTGTTTTTGTTTTGGCATGTGACATCTCTGCAGCTATTAAAGGCCAAGGTTTTATAGCTCGAGACATGACATTCGAGAACACGGCAGGCCCTCAGAAGCACCAAGCAGTGGCATTCCGGTCAGACTCTGACCTATCGGTGTTGTTCCGATGTGCCTTTAGGGGTTACCAGGACACTCTGTATGCACACTCAATGCGCCAATTCTACCGAGAATGCCAAATAACTGGAACCATTGACTTCATATTTGGTGATGGCACTGTTGTCTTCCAAAACTGTCAAATTCTAGCCAGAAAGGGTCTGCCAAATCAGAAGAACACCATAACAGCTCAGGGCAGGAAGGCCCCAACTGAACCCTCAGGATTCTCTATCCAATTCTCCAACATATCAGCCGAGGCAGATGTATTAGCTTCACTGAATTCAACCCCTACGTACCTCGGGAGGCCATGGAAGCTATATTCAAGAACTGTGATTATGCAATCGTACATGAGTAATGCCATTAGGCCTGAAGGGTGGCTAGAGTGGAATGGAAACTTTGCTTTGGACACACTGTTTTATGGTGAGTACACGAACTATGGACCAGGGGCTGGCTTGAGTGGTCGGGTCAATTGGCCTGGTTTCAAACCAATAAACAATTCGGCTCAGGCCAACAACTACACAGTGGCTCAATTCATTCTGGGAAATTCCTGGTTACCTTCAACTGGTGTCAAGTACACTGCTGGATTGGGGGTTTAAGCAAACATAAAAATAAATAAATAATAATTTTTTTAAAAAAAATTGCTTCATTAGTTAGTGTGTGTATCTATTCACCTGTTCTGGCTATCTCATCTTTGTTTTTTTGGGTTATAGAGTTTGGTGCAGATGTCAGTGTAATCTGTGCTTAGCTAGATGAGAATTGATTTGGAGTGACCCTGTTCTTTTGTATTGCTTGTACTGGCTCTGATAGGTAGATATATTTCATCAAAATATATAAAGACTATTTTGTTTGTGTACTTTTAATCAAATCTACTCAAGGGTGTGCTATTCAATGGTTGTGTAACGCATTATTTCCACCAAAAAGTGCATGTGTTGCGGTATTTAAGATTGCTTTTGAATTGAAAGAGAGGGTTGAATAAAGGAAAAGGGGAGGGAGAGCTTTTTAGGGGATTGGTTTTAAAATATAAAGAAGACAGGGAGTCTTTTAATGTGGAAGTTAAAGTGACTTATGCATATGGTATGGAGACTTGAACTTGGGGCTTTGGACACAAGCACCAACTTCCTACCACTTAGACTTTCACACCATATTTAAATTATTTTAAAAAAAAATTACTTCCTAATTTTAAAAAAAGGATGACTACAATCTTCCTCCTTTTACTGTTTTTTTTTTTTCCAAATTAATGACTACAATCTTCCTCGGCACATCTTACCTACTATTCCCTCTGTCCCTGTTCATGTTTAGAAATTAGAGTTTTTAAGAAAATATGCAATTGATTTATTATCCTCTTTTTAAAATTACCAACTTATAACTTTTACTTTAGATATATATAGTTATTAAATTTGAAATTTTTTGAAAATATAAAGGACAATGATAGAAAGATAAAGTTTATTTATTTTGACATTTTAAATGGACAACTAATTTAAATCTAAAAATGAGACAATGGACTACTAATAGGAGACCGAAGTAATAAAAAACAAAAGGTGCTCATTGTATAAAGTGATTTTAATAAATAGTAATTTCAGCAGAGGTCTTGTGCCTTTGTCCCTTGTTATCTAATGTAGCACTCTAACAACACCATGGGTCAATTGATAAATCAAAAAGTTGTTACATATTCCCTTCGTCTCAAAATAAATGTTTCATTGAAAAAGTTAATGTATTATTTTTTTTATAATATTACTAATTTAACTTTCTTGCATTGAACTTATAAAAAATAAATTATCACATTTTTAAACTCATTAAATATTATTTAATAATTCATTCACTATTAATATAATAAAATTATTTTTTTAAAAAACATGATTCTTACAAAAGGATACTTAATTTAGAACCGATGGAGTAAAAGTTAGTAGTAATTCTTAAAAAAGATACTTAATTGTTATGTGCAATAATATATTTCTTTTCTTATTTGAATGATATCATTGACTGGTACGCGGATATACAGACTATAATTCACCTGGTCAGTACTTGTTTTTAATAAGGTAGTCTAACTGTCAATTTGGGGGTCCCGTGGAGATCTGTCGGTTACCAATGTTTACAATATCAAAGTGTATATCTCAAAAAGTACGATTTCTTCAAGTAATCCGATTTTGACATTCAACAACTTCTTACAGTCTCACGAGTGTACATCGGGCTTTGCTTTATGTATGATCTTTTTTTTTTTTTGGTTTAATTTATGTATGATCTTCTTATTAGATATCTATGTACATATCAAAGTAGACGGCACCACATATAAGACCTATATATATATATTATATGTATATATGTATGTGGTCTTGACTTACGAACCTCTCCCATGCAATTCTGTTGGTACCAGTTCCAGCAGCATCACCGATCCCCTCCATTTCTTTCTAAATGTCTTTTTCCAAGCTGGAACCCTCTCTAAGCTATATATTCTTCAATGTTGAAGGCTTGACGCTAGCTCCATATATATAATAAATACAAAAAAGAAGATATAGACTGCAAATATGTAGCTAGGCTCCACGAAATCAAAACCAAGATGGGTGTCTTGTATGAAGAGACTGATCACATGGTAGGACCTAGAAACATAAGTGTGGGGGCAACTGTAAAATTTATTTATTTTATATATATTTTTTTTCAGTAGGATAACAATGGGATTTTGTAAGTATATGTTTATATTATTAAGGTATAATGCAAATAAAATAATAAAAAATTCAATGGGGACAATCCCCAATTAGCTAACAATGGGTCGAATGTGTCAAAGTGTTATACACACACTTAAATTACATCCTTTATAAAAACTTGCTAGAGTAAATCAATGAGGAATAATTAAGATAGTATTAAATTATGTATTATAATAAATTATGAATAGGCCAGTAGCCTAGCGTATCAACTATAAGAAAATAATAATAATAATAATGTATTATAATAAACTCAAATTCGTAGTCATTTTAGTAATTATAATTAAATAATTAAGATAAAAGACATGTAATATTGTGAATTCAAATCTCATTGTCACACACTTATGGTTGATGGAAAAAAAAACCAAAATGCAGCACTCACCGACAAGAACACATGGATGGCCTAGAATCCACGTCGGCCCGTTTGAAACTGGTGATTATTATTGAATTCATTATTTATTAGTTACTACTTATAAGCATGCAAGCAATTCATTACTTTCCACTCTCTTTTAAATAGGCACATCAGAGTGGGAGAATTTATTAATTGTAATCGTTATACAAATTTTTTTTTTAGATTATTACTGTTGTGGTGAACCCCACCTAAATCATAAAAACTAAGCAGGAAAAAATCGTCTCCAAGTCATCTCTCACTGGAGACTGTTCTTGGAGGGGTAAATTGATGACATGACCCTTTTAGTAAAAATGGTATTTACTTTGAAGGTGAAATTCAAATTCCCTTCAAACCATAAAACTAATTTCCCCCAAAATTTTATTCTATATCCTCTTGATATTTCATTATTTCACTCTAGGTCTCTCTCCCACTGAAATTGAAGTACTATACATTCCAGAAAACAATGGAGCTTGGCCGAAAACAATGAAGCACCATCATTAATTTCGCCGGACATTAATGATGTGAATGAAGCTTGGCTGAAAATAATGGAGGTTGTTGGGTCTAGTTTGGTTGCCGATGTTGGGAGGCTCGTTGACGGAACAGAGAGCTTGTGATTTGGTCACTGAAACTTGAATCAAGTTTCTGGGTCACCGAACAGAAATCGGCGTTGATTGTGAATGCTATTATTTGATTTGATTTTTTCGTTTTTTTTTTTTTTTTTTGTCGGTAGTTTGATGCTATATTGTAGGGAGATATGCGGGAGGGTGGCTTGTGGATTTGAAATTTTTATTTTTTTGTATTTTTTTTTAGTTGAATTGTTGATACCAACTAATTGAGGCAAGATTTGGAGGAGTAAATGTTTTGAGGCTCAGTTGCACAAAATTTGCTTTTTTGTTTTGTTTTTTTTTTTTTTTTTTTTTTTTTTTTTTTTTTATAATGTAATTACACAAAATTTTAATTTGTCAAAAGATTGAGATATAATATAATGCATATACACAAAAATTTCCTTTGGTAATGACAGCTTTTAAATAAGTAGCAAAAATTCGTTTTTTTTGGGAATGTAATTACACAAAATTTTAATTTGTCAAAGATTGAGATATATAATGCATATACACAAAATTTCTTTCGATAATGACAGCCTTTAAATAAGTAAATAAAAAATAAAAAAATAATAACATGCTAAACAAACATATCTTGAACACAATAAATTACGTAATATTAAACAAACATATCTTAAAAATACAACAACAATAATATATATAACATATATATTATGAATTTTATAATACAACAATAATATAAAAAGGAATGGGATAAAATAAATCCATTAACTTTCTTTTATGAGTGGAAGATTGTCCAATTGTAAAAGTGAAAACATGTTACACAACTTAAGCTTAACATGTTTCAAACGTAAATTATATTTAGTATCACAAATTATTTGTAACACGTACCACTTATTATATAAATTAATGTTTATAACACAATGAATATTTACCTATACATATCTTGATTTAAAATTGCTATTTTACTTCATTGTTGGCAAAATAGAATTTTTTATTTTTTTATTTTTTTCAAAATAAAATTTTATTAATCAACAACCGAAGGGAAGACATACTTTGTGAAGTAAATTTTTGATATGTGTTAAGAAAATATTCTGATACAATATTCAATTCATACAGTAAGAACTTGTGATTCTTATTTATTGTACTCTAAAATTCTAAATTTACTTTTTGATATGTGTTATGAAAATATTCTGATACAATATTCAATTCATACATGTGATACATGTTGTAAGAATTTAATATTTAATGCATATACACAAAATTTTCTTTAGTAATGACAACTTTTAAATAAGTAGCAAAAAGTGAAAAAATATTAACATGTTATTTAAACCTATTTTTCAATAAATAAGTTATTATCTCATATTTCCTCCCAAAATTTGATCACCATCTTTAAATTCAAGATCATTATTCATTAATTACCAAACTAGAATCATCTCTCATGGTGAGTATACATCATTTCCCCTGATTGATTTTGCAGTCAAAATTGTACCACGACAATTAAAAGAGGAAATCATTTTTCAGTTAAATGAAAAAAAATAGGGAAATAATGTCAAGGCAAACATTGCCTTATCGAACCAGGGAAATAATGCCAAGGCAAACATTGTCTTAACGAACCAGACCCAGTTCTCTCTCCCCTGTCTTTCTTCCCCAAATCCGGTTCTCTATGCGAAGAAGAAACCATGGATTTTTTGTGGTCACCATCCTTTATCAGACAAATCAATTCTACTTTAAAGCGTGAATATATTTATGGGAATAGGAAGAAACATAAAATCAATTGAAATCAATTCCATTATTTTACCTTGTCAATTCCATTATCCACATGGGGATGAAGGTATTTGGTGTTGGTGAAAAATCAAAGGAGGATGAAAGAGGAAGAAGAGAACAGAAGCATGACGAGAACGAACAGAAGAGGAGAAGTAAAAGTTAATTAAGTTTTTACTGAATTGGGTCCCATGTATGACTGAATAAAATATTTCTGTATATAACTTTTGTATATGGCTCCAGTGAGAGGTGCCATGGAGAGGATTCGCGCCCTAACTGAGCACCATCTCGTGGTTCTCTCGATGAATATATATCACATGGACTTTTATACGTACAGAGGTGTGCCCATGAATATATATTTACTAACGTGGTGCTTTCAAATAAATGCATACTTGGCCTCTCATAATATTTTCTAATTATAAATAATTTCCAACTTTCTATTAAAAATACACGACTTTCTTATACTTTTTTTTTTTTCCTTAAACCTTTCAATATTATATTAAACTAAGCCCACTTGCAATAATAGATAATATATTCACTTTACTTTAGAGTTGAAAGTTTTTAAAATTTTGCCTTAATGGTTTTACTATATATTTTTTGTGTGTTTGTTATGGAAGTTTGATAAAACAAAAAAAAGTTTCTTTAAATAACTAATTGATTGATTAATTTCAGGTTAATTGATTATACGATGGTCAAGCTATCAATTTTATTTATTTATTATTATTATTTTTTCTCTTCTTTTAATTGATACTTACACACATGCCTCCACCGAGACTTAAACTGTAGTCAAGCTACCAATCTATAATATATGAATTTTATTGTCTCAAAGATAATTATTTGGTCTTTTGTAATAGTTATTTGGTCTTTTTGATTAATTTTTGTACATATTTATGTCATTTTTTACTTAGATATAGTTTTTTTTTTTTTTTACACAAATTAGCTAACCATTGGTTTGATAAATTTTTGTATGACTATAATGGATTATATATATATATATATATATATATATATATATATATATTTGGCTTAAAATAATTTTTTATTAATTGTAAGTTCCCCCCAAATCATAGAAACCTGACTCCGCCCCTGCTAGCATTGTTATCAAGTAGTAGCTAATTAAATGTTTAGATGTTTCAGCCAAATAAAATATAAGAATAATTATGTATACATAGAGCTTTAGATTTTTATTTATCATTTTATGGAGTTAAAGTTACTATGTTAAAAAAAAAAAAAAAAAAAAAAAAAAAAAAAAGGTTGACCAAAATGTTAATGTTCATTTGTCTAAACCTAAACCATTGTTATTATTTTTTTAGGCACCATTTTTGTATATATAAGTACCACTCTTGTATACATAAATAGTGGTACTTACATGTACAAAAGTGATACATAAAAATAATAAAAATAATTTAGACAAATGAACAATAATTTTTTATATTTACGTCACATATTGACCAACTCCATTTTTTGAAACATCTTACATAGGGGTCCAAAACACACACGCGCGCGCGTAATTATCCCTTCAAGATATAGTTGAGAATTCATGCCGATAAGTGGGCATTTATCAGTTCAAAATATGCACCAGGATTTAATGTGGGGAGCACTATGTAATACTTTATAAATTAATGAACCAGCCTAGGCAAGAGGGATTTTTAGAGAAAAATAATAATTTGAAGGGGGCATTATGTAATATACAAATTATATGAGGTATATATATATATATATAAATTTTAATGGGCCAGCTTGGGCCTTGGGCTGGCTCCGTCACTGGAATTCTGGAAATAGACCCTTCAACCTTGTGTCAGTTGGTTTTAATTTGTCAAATACAGCTGAATTGGTTGGTTTTATTGGAAGTTAATTATATCGTACATTTTCATTTTTCTGTGATATTCCAACTGGATGAAGCCAATTTATAAAAGGTTAGTTAAAACATACCAGATAAAATTGCTAAGAAAGTATATTACTTTTTAGCATATTGCAGCGGCTGGACACCAGAGTCAAAGAAATTAAGTGATACTATAGGCATGCACGTATGGGGGCCATTTTCACACACAGACACAAACACCCAAATAGATGATCGTAGAAAAATTTGTATGCATATTTATCTATTTGACAACTACGAATATCAAAGAAATTAAGCCTTTGTAGTAAAATATTTTTTTATTTTCTGGTGTTTGGTTGTCCTAAAATATTTAGGAAAAAAAAAATATTAAAATTTAACAAAAATAACTTATCCATCAATTTTCGACAAATTATTTTACATTCTTCGCTCGATAGATTCGACCCCAACCTCGACGAAATTCTTTGCCAAACTAAAAATAAAAGAATAGTTTAACATAAAAATATTTTTTAAAAAGAATATTTTATGTTGAGAATAGAAAGTTCTGTATGTATATTTATGTATTAGATAACTATTGAATCTAATCGTGGAGGGGAAAACAATTTGCTGGAAATGCGGTTTAAAAGGAAGAATCTCCTTCACCCATTGTCTAAAAGCATATAACTGAATTTTGAATAGGAGTCCTAAAAATTCTCCAATCCAGACCTCCTATGGTGACAGGAAAGTTGTCTTTGCCAATGGGTTGAAATCTTTCAAGCTGTCTTAATTAAAAGAAGAAAAAAATACAAAAAAATAAAAATAAAAATAAAAATAGGATTAGCAAAGAACGTACACAATAAACAAATTGTCTTAGCCTCTTTTGCTCTCTGCCTTGGCTTGAACCTAAGGCAGAGATCAGCTCTCTGCCTAAGGTGGTGCACTGCATGAAAGCATGGCGTTTCAGGATTTCGATCACATTTCAGAACGCCGTAGAAATGAAAGGAAACAAAAGGAGAGAAAGAGGATTCTAATTATTTCAGTTTCAGTCGTCGTCCTCCTCCTCATCGCCGCTTCTGCTGCAGCTGTTGTTGTCAATAAAAACCAAAAGGAATCATCCCATTCTTCAGAATCTGACAACCCTTCTTCTTCATCTTCATCTTCTTCTTCTTCATCTTCTTCTTCTTCTTCTGATTCCGTAAAACAGGTATCAAAATCTCAAAAGGCAGTGAAAACAATTTGTGCACATACAGATCACACAAAAACATGTGAGGACAGCCTCTCACAAGAAGTGGCTTCCAGTGCCTCTGCATTCGAACCCAAAGACTTTATGAAGGCTGCAGTCTCTGTGGTGGCGCATTCGCTCAATAAGGCCATGGATCAAAGCTCCAAATTGAAAGCCAACACGCCCGAAGAGAAAGAGGCATACGAAGATTGTATGACGCTCCTGAAAGATGCCACTGAAGAATTGAATAGTTCGGTTTCAAGTGCCGGTGTCAATAATATAAAGACGATCTTGTCAAATGCTCCTGAATTGAACAATTGGCTTAGTGCTGTGATGTCTTACCAAGCGACATGTATTGGTGAGTTTCCTGATGGAGAATTGAAGTCTGAATTGGAAAAGACCTTGACCAATACAACTAAACACACCAGCAATGCTCTTGCCATTGTCTCAGAATTGTCTGCTATTCTCGAGACATTCAATACACCCGGAAATCACCGGCATCTTCTGGCATCAGGGTCGAGCATGCCTTCTCTCGATGAGGACCGCCTTCCTACGTGGATGACTGCTGAGGATCGGAGGATTCTCAAGGAACGTGCCAAGGAACCCCATCAAGATGACCCCACTCCCAATGTGGTGGTTGCAAAAGATGGTAGCGGAAAATTCAATTCCATTAATGATGCATTGGCTGCAATGCCAGAAAATTTCCAAGGAAGGTATGAATGTTAATTCCAATCATATATCATAATTCATGATCAAATTCATTCATGGTAATTGTCATCATCATGTATAATTGTAGCACCACCACCACCATTATTCCTATTCTTATAGTATCTCTATTGTATAATAATCAAGTACTTAATTATGATCCATTGTTGGAGAAACTTTTTGAGACCTCACTTGTACTGATGTTAAAGGATTCATTTATTGAATTCTTCTTTCTATTCAATATTCATCCATTCTGTTTCAATTTATCACAATGCAGGTATGTCATATACATTAAAGAAGGAATTTATGATGAGCAAGTGACAGTGACCAAAAAGATGGAAAATGTTACCATGTATGGTGATGGATCCCAAAAGACAATCGTCTCAGGGAACAAAAATCCCGGAGATGGAGTTGGTTTTCTTCAGACTGCAACTTTTGGTATGTTATTCTAAATACACAACAAATTAGCCTCTAAAATTATGATATATAAGAATCCCACTTTGCAATTGTCTACTATGTACCTACTCTCTAAAGGCCAGTCTAGCTCACAATTTTTATCCGAATTGATCACTCTTGTGACACAGTGAGGTTAAATGTCATGTATGTCTGTGAACGTGCAGTTAATTTGCGTATGATTACCTAAATGATCATTTTTATTTGTTTGCAGTGGCAATTGGAAAAGGTTTCATGGCGAAATCAATGGGATTCAGGAACACTGCTGGTCCGGATAAGAAGCATGGAGTGGCCTTAAGAGTGCAGTCGGACCATGCAATTTTCCAGAATTGCCGTATGGAGGGGTACCAGCACACCCTGTATGCCCAAACGCATCGGCAATACTACCGTAGCTGTCTCATCATTGGAAGTGTGGACTTCATTTTTGGCGATGCCGCGGCTATCTTCCAGAACTGCATTATCCATGTCAGGAAGGCTCAGGACAACCAGGAAAGCACAATTACGGCCCAGGAAAGAGCTGACAAGCGTGAGACCACTGCAATTGTTCTGCACAACTCTCGCATTGTACCAGACGACGAGTCTGGGGCAGACAAGACAGACTTCAAGAGCTACCTCGGGAGGCCAGGGAAGGAATGTGCAAGAACCATTGTCATGGAATCGGATCTTGGTGGTTTGATTGATCGTAAGGGATGGCAATCCGAGGGTGACTTTGCTATCAAAACAGCGTATTTCGCCGAGTTTAGCAATAAAGGGGCAGGGGCAGACGTTAAAGGCAGAGTGAAATGGCCTGGTTACAAGGTCATTGACAAGAAAGAGGCTGAAAAATATACAGTAGGTGCTTTCATACAAGGAGATTCTTGGTTGAACCAGGCAGGTGTTCCTGTTCATTCCGGACTTTTAAACTGATCAATTAACCTCGTTTGATGTCAACATGGTCAAATGTTTGATAAACTAACATTCAGATTGAGAGATTTTTCATGGAAACAGAGTGGTTTCACTCATTCTCAAAATGGTTTCATTGGGTTTGAAATTGGAGAATATTTTTGTGATGTGTTTTAGTGTATGATCATAATGTTGTTTCTGTAGCTCCTCTTCATTGACAAACAAGTTAAAGAAAACTTTACTGTCTACTATATATATACTTTTTATCATTTTTTGTTTGGTTCAATTGACCTCAAAAGCTTGAAATAGGAGCTTTTCAACAAAAGGAGACCACCACCAATTTTGGAGCATTAAATCTATAATCGTGCCATCTGCCCAATGCTGTAATTGTGCGATCCAGAGGAAAAGCTTGGGGGAAATTGTGGTCATTGGCCGGCCTGTCTTATGAATTCAAATAAATTAACTCTTCGTTGGATGATGTCTGGCCTGCCAATATTGTACTGATAGGGGTGGGTTCTACATTAGTATTTGGACAAATGGAAAAGTGAGACCAATTTGGGACTTTCTTTGTTAGTATCGCTTTAGAATATGTCATATAATAATATAGAAAGTCAACTTAATGTTTATTATTTTTTTTTATTACAATAAATGTCCATTGTCAAGTTCACACCCAGATTAAAATGGTCTTATTAATAAAAGTTGAAGATTACACACACCAGAGCTGTCAAAAGACAAAGATAAAAGTTTTGGCAGATGGACTCTATTACCAATAATCTTTTGTGTGAAATTTTAATCGTTGGATCATCTTTTTAACACACCTGTATAACGTTTTTCTTTTGTGGACAAGAAAGTAGAGAGCTCGCGAATATACTTACACCATGTTGAACTCAATTGTGGTTTTCACCTTTAAAATTCATTGGCTGACTTTAAAATTATCATGACGGTCGTTAGGGTCCAAAATGTAGCAGCTCATCATCACTTAATCTTCACCAATGTAAACTTGGTCATCCCTTCATGAAAATTATTCTTTAATTAGAACCAAAATAACACCATCTCAAATTACTCATATATATAAACAAGCAATCAAACACCACCATAACCACGGCAAGAAATTAAATTAAATCATGGATTCAGTAGCCTTCAAGAGCTACATTAAAGCCAACGAGTTAGAAGAGCAAGCTTTTCGCATCAAGACTCGCAAGCGTCTCATCATCATCACCCTCTCCACCATCGTTCTAATCACACTGATCATCGTTGCCACTATCGGAACTATCACACGTAGCAGCAAAAGTAGCAGCGACAGCCAGAGTAATTCTGCGTCTCCGACGAACGACGACGTGGCCAAGTCCATTGAATCTATGTGCAATGTAACCCACTACCCAGACGCCTGCTTTTCAAGCATGTCTTCTGATCTCAAGATCTCGTCCACAAACCAAACCTCGCACATGATCAGTACTGATCCACAAAAGCTCTTCATGTTGTCCCTCCAAATTGCACTTAACGAGCTTGTCAATCTATCTTCTTCTTTGCCTGAAATTCTCACTCCCTCCAATGTGCATCACGATGATGATCCAGTATTACTACAGCACGCGTGGCGCGATTGTCAACATCTCATTGAGGCCGCTATAGATCACGTTAACATGTCCATCATGTCAATGAAATCGTTCACAACGACTAGTATTATTGATATCAGGACGTGGCTCAGCACGGCCATTACTGATCAAGGGAGCTGCTTGGACGGGTTGGAGGAGGTGGGACCGCTGACTATGAGACTCCAGGAAGATGTGAGGATTGCAATGAAGAACTCTACTGAGTTCACAAGTAACTGCTTGGCAATCATTTCTAATATACTCACCATCTTCCCGGATTTTCAAGTCCCGGTATCTAGGAAATTGCTTAAGGCTGAGGTTGGTGGAGATTACCCCAATTGGGTTAGTGGGGGAAAATATCGGAGACTGCTGCTGGAGGAGGAGGAGGCGGTGATGGAACCAAATGTGACGGTGGCCAAGGATGGGAGTGGGGACTTCCGGAGCATAATGGAGGCAGTGAATGGGGTTCCGAGGAAGAGCGAGTTCATGTATTTGATCTATGTGAAGGAAGGGGTGTATGTGGAGAATGTAGTTGTGGGTAAGGATATGTGGAATGTGATGGTTTACGGTGACGGAATGAATAGGACCATCGTCTCCGGCAGCTTGAATCATGTAGATGGGGTGCCCACTTTCAACACAGGCACATTCAGTAAGTTATTATTCCCTTCAATTGAATTAGTTATTGTAGGCTTGTAGCAGTAGTAAGATTGTCTATGAGCCTAATTGGTACTGTTGTTAGGAATTAAAAAAATATTTTCATTAATAGATCTGTCAAAAAAATTACTGTCAATAAAAAAAAAACATGTTAGATGTTTGATAACATATTATATAATAAGTATTTTTTTCAATTAAATTTATTTATTTAGTAACAATTTGTTTAAATAACAACTTTATTAAGGCAGAGATATAATTGTCCGTTACAAAAATAAAATGGACAAAATTATCAAATGAAAAAGAATTATCTAAAAATTCTATCTTCTTTCAAATGACAGTTATAAAAGTTGTCAAATGAAAATTCCATCTTCATTCAAATGACAAAAATAAAATGGACAAAATTGTCAAATAAAAAATCTTACTATTTTCATGTACCATTTTTTTGTGCCGACCATTTTGATAACACGACATGTACAAAAAATAATATCAGCATATATCTTGTACATAAGTGATATTTACATAAACAAAAGTAATACTTAAAATAATTGCAAATAGACCAAGATGCATAATTATTAATCCACTTGTCACTATTTTTATTTTTCAATTCACAGTAGCAGAAGGGAGAGGTTTCATTGCAAAGGGCATGGGCTTCATGAACACTGCAGGCCCACAAAAAGAGCAGGCCGTGGCCTTGCGCTCATCCTCAGACAAGTCAGTCTTCTACAAGTGCTCCTTCAATGCATTTCAAGACACCCTCTATGCCCACTCCAACCGTCAGTTCTACCGGGACTGCTATATCACTGGCACCGTTGACTTCATCTTCGGCAATGCCGCCGTTGTTATACAGAATTGCACAGTCCAACCGCGGCAGCCCAGGCCCAACCAGTTCAACACCATAACGGCCCAAGGCAAAACCGACTCAAATCAGAACACCGGCATCTCAATTCAACGGTGCAAAATCACCCCGTTCAACAATCTAACGGCTCCAACCTACCTTGGCAGGCCCTGGAAGAATTTCTCAACAGCCATATTCATGCAATCCAACATCGGAGGGTTCATAAGCCCTGCAGGATGGATCCAGTGGACTCCAAATGTTGACCCACCTAAGACAATATTCTATGCAGAGTATCTGAATACAGGGCCTGGGTCAGGGTTGGATCAGCGTGTGGATTGGGCCGGTTATAAGCCCAATATCACATTCAAGGAAGCAGCTAAATTTACTGTGGAGTCTTTTATTCAGGGAAGTGAATGGTTGCCTCGTGCCACTGTAACCTATAATACAACCTAAAACCTGAAAAAGAGCAAGAATTTCGTCTCAAAAATACAAACGCACATATATATATACACACATTTATATATTTGTGCTATTGATTATTACATTGAGCAATAAAATCAAATATAATATGAATACGACCAATATTATTATAAAGACAGTAAATCCACTATTACGTTTTGAGGTCAAAGTGAAATCTAGTACTTAGTTCTTTTTCTTTCAATTAATATCAATTGGGTATTGGTGTTTCAAAAGTCTCCTTTCGAAGTCCTGGAGAGATGTAGAGTAAATATGAACCAAAACTTTGAGATAATACTTGAAAATGCGCTTCCAAACTTTGAACTGTGGTCCATGTACTATGGATTTGGCTTCGTATTGAGAAACCGTTGATAATTGAATGAAAGACAAGTAGCATACGTGTATAAAAAGGGTGTGGTCCCACAGCCATTAGTGCCACTAAGAAGGACATGACTAGAACATTGCCAATCCATACAGAGGAGATTAAATGGAAGAAAGCAAACATATGATACAAATATTTACATATTATATATATGCTCTCATATAAATATATACATATTAGATATATATATATATATGCTCTCATTCATAATACAACCTAGCTAGCTATTATAGATTTGATGCATGTCTTCATGTACTTCATTGAATATGATATTTGTAGTAGTGGCACTGCAGGCCTTGGACCAATTAGAGTTTGTCTATAAGCTTTGTTTGCTTCCACAAGCTTTGTTTTCTCCAGAATCACCACATATTTAATTCAGAAATTGAAGGCGTGCGTTAGACCCACATCCACAGAGTAGACAGACGTTAGCTTTTTGTTCTCTAGAAATGAAATTCTAAATTAAAGCTAACACATTATATATATCACGAGTCTTGGCTTCAATTGCATTGCATAAATCCGATCAAATACAAACACAAAGAAGAGTTTAGTTTGAAACAAAACAAAATTTCATAAATTAAAAGAAATCATTCAAACACTTATATATTATCCCCTCATGCTGCAAATGTACAAGCAAAAAGTGCACACACACTACACATACAAGAGAGATGGCTTCATATGAATTAACTTTTAACGGATTGATGGTTTTGTTTTTGTTGATGGTTTTTTTGGCAATGCCAGGTACAGCTGCAAGGTTACATGGCATGGCTAGTACTACAAATAATGGAGAAGATTTAATTACTACGACGTGCAACAACACACTTTACTTTGATGAATGTGTATGTTCGCTGAGGTCGGATCCTTGGAGTGAAACAGCAGATATCAATGGGCTGGCTGCCATTGCACTCAATCTAAGCATTACTGAAGCAATGAAAATACTTCCATTCATTATCAATTTGAACAACACTCTTGCTGTTAGTGATCCACAAACCGAATTCGAGTCAAGATGCTTAGGTGAATGCATAGGTGAGTATTTGGAAGCTGTTGAATATCTACAGGAGGCAACACAAGCTTTGACAGACAAGTCTTATGATGAAGTGAATAGATTGGTGACTGATGCCATGACAGATTCGGTGACCTGTGAGGACGGCTTCGCGGAGGGGCCGGACGGCCACTCTCCCTTCACTCACACAAACCAGTATTTCGAGAAGTTGTGCAGCATTTTGTTAGCTATCACTAAACTTCTCACTTGATTTTTAATTAGGAATTTTTACATAGTTTGTATCCCTCTTAGGCAATGTCCTTTTTTTTTTTTTTTTATTCTCCTGTTAAGAACTTGATGAGTGGTAATGATTTCTTAATCCCAACTTTGGGAGAAAAGAGTAGCATGAGTGGTGTAGGTCTTGTGGACTCAACTAGTAGCTAGGAATTTCACTTGTCTCTTAGAAATTTTGAATTTTTTTTTTTTTTTTTTTTTTAAGTAGAGAAAATACCATTGAGTTATAAGAACTTTTACAATTTAATGTAAAGAAGATACTACTAAATTACAACGACTTCTGTATTTGTAAAGCATTTTGGGTGATATAGCATATAGAAAAAAAGAAGAAAAATGCAACCCAAACTCTCATGAGAAATCTAATCAAATTTTTGCTGCATCTGCTCCTTGGATTCTTTTAATATTTAAAGGAAATCTAATTATGTCATAAAAATAATTACCATATGAAAATTGTTATGTGTGAGTATAATTAATTTCCCACGTACTGTACCTTTATGTGGAGCACTTAATTGTTACCAAGGTTTTGAAGTCTCCATTTATTATTATTATTGGCTAATTCACATATTTAATTTGAAGCCAATTTTTTTCATAAAAAAAATTGTACCTTTTTTTCAAATTTGAAAAAAAAAAAAAAAAAACCCAATTTTTATATTGTTATAACTTCCTCATACAAAATTTACAAAAAGAAAACAAAACAAAATAAACCTCACTTTTTCACCAATTAATAAAAATATCAAAACACCCTCTTTTTTTGCTTTCTTCTTTTACTTTTTCTTTTTCTTTTTTTTTTTTCCTTGGTTGAGTTTGACCAAAAAGTATCCAACTTATTCTAACCAAATTTCACGTTTTTTGGATTCGAACAATTGGAGTAATGTTAAAACAAGGAAAGGAGACACATAATTGGCTTCATTTTGTATACTAATTTTCTAAATTGACTAAATCATAACCCCTTTTTTTTTAAGGTGACTAAAATCATAACTATTGAACGTAATAACATTACAATGCCACTAATAATTAAATGGTAATATTCTGAAAAATATCAGCATTCTCCTTAATAATTGTCGGTCAACCAGTGATTTCTATAAAGTGATATCACTTTCACCAAGAAATTAATTACAACTTTGGACCACTGTCACTGCTTTTGTTGTTGTTTTTCCTTTTTAATTAATGGTCATTTGCATATTTTATTGGGGGATTAATGCCCTCTCTCAATCAAATACATGTGTTGATGGCCATTGGCGTGATAAATCGTGCATCTCATGCACCACCACCAATAGGTCCACCACACAACACCGTGGGTGTGACTCATTTACGGTATGACATGGTAATGGGTTTTTGGTTTTGTATTTTTGTTGTCAAATTAGTGAGATGTTTGATAATATTTGTAACAATTTGCTTACTCATTTTTGCTACTGATCAATTGTATCTTCTAACTAAACCTACCCTAAGTATTACAATAGGAATGACAATATGACTCCTTTCGTAGTTACCCGTCCTGTTTAGTCCCTTTTTTTGCAATTTTAGGGGATCATTTAACTTATTTGGACAATAATGGTTTAATGTAATAAAAACCCACGCGAGTTTGGTGCGAGATACCCTTATTTCATTAGTATATATATTTTCCGTATGTATGTTAAGTACTCTATATAACAATATTAAAGTAACAAATGAATTTGATTAGAAGAAAGTTACAATTGCAAAGAATTGAAGATGAGGGGGAAAAAAAAAGAACAAATGTATTTCAACAATAAATAAATTATGATTTTAAACTTGGTGGGGTGGATACCCACGGGGTAAAAATGTTAACGGTTGCGGAAATGAGGTGAAAAGTCCTTCCATTTTTACGGGTTTGAGTTAGGACGGGAGCAAAGTTTTTAAACAATTGCAGGGACAATTTTTAAACGGTTGCAGAGGCGGGGGCGGAGAAAAGTACACCTGCCCAAACTCACCTTGTTGCCATCCCTAATTACAAATATTAATGGATGAGCATCTTATGTCCAAGTGTACACATTTTAGTTCACACACAATTATTCGCGCGCACACACTGGGCCCAACTTGGCTTCCAATTTCTTCTTTGGAGGGCTTGATTTGAATGTTCACCATCTTCAAAGAAATTGCGAGAATTCTACATGATTGAGACAAGGATTGAGACAAGGGGAGACAATCTCTTAATTCCAAACTCTGAAAGTTCTCCAAGAGACTAAATTATTGTTTGCAGAATAAATAAAAATTATAAAAGGATTATTAAAAATAAATAGTGTTAATAACTCATATTTATCATTTAATAGAGTCAAAGTCTTATAGTTTCGAAAAAGTGAAATTGACTAAAATACTGACGTGGACATAAAAAAAATACTATTTACTCTCATTGAGGTATCACTTTTTGTTCACGAAGGTACTACTTTTTATACATCAGGTACCATTTTTGTTTTGAACATAAATGTATCACTTTTATTCACATGGATAACATTTTTTGTACATATAGTTACTATTTTTTTTTTTTGTGTAACACAAAAAGTAGTACCTTCATTCAAATAAAGTTGTAGTTATATGTTCACAAGTAGTACCTCAGTGAGGGTAAATAATGTTTTTTCATGTCTTTATTTTTTAAAAAATTATGAAACTTTAATTCAATTAAATAATAAATATGAATTATTAGTATCATTTATATATAAATAATATAATAATTACAAATATAAATATATGGCGAGAGAGTATTAGTAATACATTTTATCTCGCGAATTGATATTGAATGCTGCCTTTAACCAAGTCAATAATGAGTAAAATTCAAACAGTTGTTGTCTTTACAGCTGTTTGATGAACACTTTTATAAGTGATGTTATATTTGAAGACGATAGGTTTCAGAACAGCTGTTCTACCTACATTTTGTAGAGAGGAAAGCTACCGTTGGATGTGGAAGGCTGAGTATTGTTAATAGTTTGAGGTCCAGTTCTAGATATATATTCCCTCGTGGCAGGGCATTCTCACATGAGACTAAAAGGTCATTACTCTGTTTTTGACTTTTGTTCTGCTGAATAAGCCCTTTTAATTTGTTCTCCTGGCCCTCTGCCTCTTACTTTTTGTCTGGTAGAGTTAGTGGATTCATAGATATATCACTCTTCTCATTCTTGTTGAAGATATGTTCGGTTACATAGTATTGATGTTTTAAAATTAAAATTTTATGCAACTGAACATAAATTAGAGGTACTATTACATAGTAAGTTCTCCAAAATATTTAAATTATTTTTCTCTTAAAGCCTTGTTAATATACTATGTGTTACTCGTCAAAATAAAGAAGGCCGAATCCTTTTTCGAAAAAATTATTACATAATTTCGAAATTATTGATCCCGAACCAATCAACACTTGACATGTTAAGAAATATAATAATATTTCCTTCTTTAATAAGCAATTGTAGGTGAGTGTATGCCTTACTATTGCAAAAATAAGTAATAAAAAGGATTAAATATTATATAGATAGAATATGAAAACAAATAAAAAATGAAATACTACTAAATAGAGAAGCAAACAAATTGACTTTTCCCTTATTGCTTGTATTTTCTTACTCACTTGGTGCGCTTTGATTTTCTCTTAAATTATTAGCATTGAGTAGGTTCAAAGTGAACACAATCTTCTCCCTCAAGATTTGAACATTTTCATACACATGCAATAAGATTCATTTCCTGAATAGTGATGCTGCTAATGCATAATGCATTTTTGTTGGATGGCGGTTTCCTTGTTATGTTAATGTGGTGGTGCACCACCACCTTCGAGTCACCATACCCCACCACAGCTGCCGTGCCCTGCCACCATTGGATGGTCAGTGACAGTGGGGGCTGCTTTATGACGTTGATTGAATAGAAATAGATTCGAGAAGAATGTGCCTGTATTTGAATATGTATGGATAAAATGTAGTAATTGGGGTAGAGGGGCATACCTTTTGTTTGAAAGTAGAGAGGCTGATTTTTGAAAGAGGTCATTCATTTTTTAAGACTTGTACGGTGGTGGCCAGGCAAAGTGAGACCCCATATGGTTTCGGTTTCATTGTGACATTGTGTACTCAACGACCGCTGATGTGAACTTTCAGTCTACGACCCCATGATGTTGACTTTTTCATGTCCCAGCCACTTAGTGAACAACTTTGTTCGAGTCCGTGGGCCCATGATATCAACTTTTCTTTTTCTTTTTTTTTTTCATTAATTATGGGCCCATGTTATCAACTTTTATTTATTTATTTTATATGTATCTATTTTAGTGGACTTAATTTCCTCAATTATGTCTTTTTCTTTTTCTTTTTTTTCTTTTCTTTATTTTATCATTAATTGTGTCCTTTTCTTGAAGAAGGGAAGAAAGTACGGTATTAATTTCTTTTGAAATTTCAGATTTTGTCATTGCCCAAGGCTAAAGCTGTTTAAATTTCTCGCAAAACTGCATGAATTAATGCAAAGAAAGCACAGAAGTCCGTTTTTTGTTTATGATTGGTCATACAAGTCTCGGCTCCATTAAAAAAAATTGAATTATGAAATGAATAAATATTAATTTATAGGGTAAATTATATTGACACTCTTGAGGTTTTAGTCAGCGTCACTCAACGGTTAGTCAATGATTTTTTTTACATTAACATCTTATAAGGTTTCAAAATTTTGCATTCACACTCCCTTCCAGACCTCTGAAACCATATATATATATATATATATTTATATATATATATATATATTGTGTCGATAAGGCTTATCAATTTGGTTAGGTAGGTTCGCGGCATGGTAATTACATTGATATATTATATTAAATAGACCGTTCCTATTATTTATTTATTAACAAGCACAATGTTTTAAAAAAGTGAGCTTGTAATTAATTTATCTCTCTCTATATATATAATATAACAGTAATTCGATGGTAATTAATTAATCATCTTTTCTTTTTACTATTTTAAGAAAATTATTCATTTTTTCTGTTACTAATGTAAAATTGCAAAACTAAGCACTTCAATAATATGCGATCTTGAGCTCATTTAGAATTTAATTAAGAAAAGAAAGTAAGTTACGATGCAAAGTTCTTAACTGGTTAACGCAGAATTAGGATCCACTTCTGTG